ATAAAAATTCCATCTGGCATTAATTTTTTCACTGTTGATCCCACCTCAGTGAAGAAAAAAACAACAACATACAAACCACAGTGACTCCTCCTCATCGGAAGTAATTACTACTGAATAGGCCAGCTTCACTTGTGATTGACCAACCAAGATGAATAACATCCTTTGACTCAATTTGTTTTCTTTGGAGGATGCCGGCAGGGCTCCACATCCTCTTTCCTCAGGCCGCTCCTTGAAGGCTCGACTGATTGAGTCACCAATCCTCCTTTTTCTGAGTAATTATCGACTCATTGACAATTCCATACAACATTCATCTAACATATGGATTTTTTTCCTTCTTTTTAGATTGGGGGCAAAACAGCAGGATGAGCTCATAGGGTGAAGGAAAGCAGAAGAGGAGAGACAGCTGTGAGTTTGAGTGATGGTACCATCAGACGGCACGGGCTCCTCCCAGAGGAGACATTGCCTAGATATTTTCTTTTGCTTCATGTCACCCAGTGGAGCTGGAAAGCTTTCAGGTGGTTGGAAAGTCAATGTGAAACTCAACCAAGCTCAATGAAGCCGTGCTCTTAGTTATAGCAGCACAAATGACATACATGTATGTTTCAGCTGGTGCAGAGTGCGCTGCATGAGCACCAGTCCCGCTGAAGGACATAGCAGGGTTATACACATGTACAATTCTTTGGATTTATGGTTGATTGCAGCATTAATGCTTGGAGGTGCTGACTGGGAGGTGAGACTTGGAACGCACATAAACTGATGGCAATACGCCATCCCTCTTCGGCATCGGCAAGTGAGACAAATGCCTCGCAGCCTGCCGCCAAGTATAGAACATGAAACACATGATGAAACATGCAATTAAGAGCCTCTGTGCTGGTGGGGAGTGCTGTGAGGAGACCCCTGGTTACATATTCCCTCACTGATTAATGGAAGAGCTTTGGGACGGGAGGGGTTAGCGAACCCGCCAGGAGGATAGGGTAACGAGGCGCTGTGGCAGATTTATGTCCCCTCCCGCCCCTCTCTCTACAATCTTATGTGTCCATGACAAAGTGCCTCCCAGCTCCCCCATCCCATATCCTTGAAATGTCATTACATGTTCACATGTAGCAGGCCGGCAGAGATGGAAGGGAGATCTGCATTAATACTGATGAGAAGTGGGCTCTGGTCTTTTTGTCTCAGTAGCAGTTTCATCTTTTCCTTGAACCTTTTTACATCAACATCTAATACTCTCCCCCCCCATTCGTCTGTGCAGGCAGACTCATTAGTTTGTCTTCTATTACCCTGCAGCCATGCAGAACCTCAGGGTCTGCAGCCTGTTTACATTACACATGTACTGTTTCTCTTATCTTTAGACAGCCTTCATTAACAATCAGCTCTGTGTTCTGCTGTCCTGTCTGCTGTTTTACCTTCAGTCTGTCTGTAGGCAGGGCCTGGGCTCCCTTCATGATGACCTCTTGAACCCTCTCCACTGACAGGTCACTTCCAGCCTGCTCCAGACGTTGACTGAAGAATCCTATCACCTGAAGTTCAAACAACAGGAGACAGACTTTCAGAAACATAGCTATAGTACAGTCAGACGAGGAGGATTATCAAAACTAATGCTGCTTTTTAGTAGATTTCAGCAGATCTATGCATCAAATTCTTTACAAAGTACAGAAAAAAAATCTTACAAAAAACAATCTGGATTATTCAATTTGAATAAAACATAAAATAATTATTTCTTTCAGCTGAAGAGCCCCTCCCAGTCCTCCTCTTCATATAAAGCACTAATAGAACTACAGCTGGGAAGCTACTAACAACAAATTAACCTTCTAACATTAACTAGTTATGCAACCTGGGGCTTCTGGACAAAAAGCAGGAGGGCAAAACCTTTGATCCGTATCTCTGTTTGATTCTTCATGTCAAAATCAAATAACAGATGAATGATCATGAATTATTTTAGGGTCAGTATGAAAAATAGCGTGTTTCTGGTTTTTAATAAACGTAAATGATCTGGATGCATACTCTTTTATGATTGGCTACAGGGTGTCCATTAAAGAGTGTTAAAAATGATTTTTTTAAATTACTGTGCTGGTTTCCTCTCAAATGATACTTTGGATTGCTAAAAATAACGTTAAGCTGCAGCCAGAGCCGTTACCTTGGTAATCTTTAACAACAACAGATATTAAATTGTCCACTCAGTCAATTTTTGTGGAAAATGTATACATTCAATGTTTAAAGAACAAACAAACAAGCTATTAACTTATTAATAATTAATTTAACAGTACATTTATAATGTGACAATATGAGCAAGAGATGGCCCTTTTTCTAATTCCCCCGTTTCAGGGGTTCATTACCAGAAAATATTCTTCTGACTTTCTGATTATGGTTTTGGCATTATCTCATTGTTTATGTGTTTTACCTTAATAATGTGATATTGTAAAAGTATTTTTATCTTTTTTTTTTTCAAAGTGATTATATTATGGGAAGCTCCTACTTGATAATGTCCACTTAAGAGTTTATAATTTGTATTTAAATAAATAGAAATAACTGAAGACAACTACTGCATTGTTCCCCTGTTAAAACAAATTTGAATGTTTTTTTGGAAAAAACACATTTCAAACACAATATTCTAAGAGTAAGGTATGAGAAATCCTACAGTAACCTTTATAGTTAAAAGATCTAAGATTCAAGGTAATAAATATCTTCATAGAAGCACTGTTCAGGAGTTATTGCTCTAATCTTTCTTGTTGATATTTTTCATACCTGCTCTACAAAATGCACAAACACAATTAAATTAAATGTTGTTTATTGTGTTTTCCTGATTGAGAAGCCTTGAGGACTCATTTATCACACTGCCTGGACACCGAGCCATAAAATGTCTCTACGGTGTGTCATGATGTAGTGAAGAAATCTGACCCTATTCAGGATACCTCACTTGATGAAGTGGCCAGTCTTGTATGTATTGCACTACCCTCACAATGCATGGGTTGTACTGCTTTGTTGTAGGTCTGTCATACTGATACATATGACCTTACAGTGACCCACAACGAAAAAACAGTTTAAGTAAAAATGAAAGAACTGTTCACACATTCAATTTAGTAACAAAAAAAAAAACAACTAATAACAAATGCAACATTGGAGTTACAGTTAAGGCACGTTTGGGCTAGGGAAAAAAAAAAAAGAAGCAAACCAAGTGTGAGTATTAATGTCAGCCTGTGTCTCTTAAATAAATGGAATAAAATCTTATGACTGATTCCAACTCCTTGTAAACTTTCTAATTGCATTTCTACTCTGTGTGTGGAGTTACTTAAAATAAAATAGTTCATGCTTACCTTTGTTGAATATACATATATAGACATTTGGACAAAATAGCCCTCATTTAATGCAATAAAAACCCACAATGGACACAGTAATAACTATGATCTAACAAAAGTAATAAGTAAACTTACTTTTAACAATCTTTCAACAAAATAATAGAAAAAATAAACTCATCAAACATGACTGAACAAAAAGTAATGGCACCCCTTTACTTTACCTTTAGGCAATTCAATGGTTGCTGTAACAGCAGGTATTTTGGCCCACTCCTCAAGAGCAAACTGCTGCAGTTGCAGCTTTGAAGGCTGCCTTTTCCAGACAGCAATCTCAGCTCCTACCAAAGATGCTCAATATGATGTAAGTCAGGGCTAATAGGAGGCCAATCCAGAGTAGTCCAATGTTTTCCTCTTAGCAATTCTTGGGCGTTTTTAGCTGTGTGATATGGATCATTATCCTGTTGAAAACCCATGACCTGAGACTGAGAGCAGACTTTCTGACACCGGGCAGCGCATTTCTCTCTAGAATCCCTCAATAGTCTTGAGATTTCATTGTTTCCTGCAGATACTCGAGACACTCTTAGCAGATAAAGCAAATAACTCTAGCACATAACAGAGCCTCCTCCTCCATGTTTCTCAGTAGGGACAGTGTTCTCTTCTTTATATGCTTCATTTTCTGTCTGTCAACATAGAGGTGACAAAAAGTTTAATATTTTTTTTCATCCTTCCATGGGATATTCTACTAGAAGCTTTGTGGCTTGTCAACATTTAGCTTGGTAAATTCCTGTCTTCCTTTGTTTTCTCCCATTAAGTCCACTTTGGCTCAAACGACGGATGGTGTGATCTGACACTGATGTTCATTGAGCTTTAAGTTCACCTTTAATCTCTTTAAAAGTTTCTAGGCTCTTTTGTTACCAGCGATATTATTTGTCTCTTTGATGTATCATCAGTTTCTCTTTTGCAGCCTCGCCCAGGTAGGTTGGCTACAATCCCATGGATCTTAAATTTCTGAACAATACGTTCAGCTGCTGTCACATGAACATCAAGCTGCTTGGAGATGGTCTAATAGCCTTTACCTTTGCCATACTTGTCTATAATTTTCTTTCTAATTTCTTTCCTCTGGTCCATCTGGTCCATGTTGAGTGTGGTAGACACCATGTCACCAAAGTATAGTGACGACCAGTAGCCCCATATATTGGCCCACTGACTAAATACAAGATTGCAGACACCAGTAATACTGATTAGTGGACACCTTTTTTTAACATGTCCTTTTGGTCACATTATTTTCAGTCTTCTCTCTGGGTGCCATCATTTTTGTCCAGGCGTGTTTCATGAGTTAAATTCCTAAAATCATTCTGTTGAAGCATGGTTGAAAAGCAATGCCTGACTTTCATTTATTCATTTTATAGATTTTGTATTTTTCACTTGTCTCAGATGACTTTGTAATCAAGTTATGTCTGTGACCATTGTGGGTTTTTTCTCTCATTAAATGAGGGGTACCAACAAGTTTGTCGATTTGTTCACTATGATTAATGGAGTACTATAAATAATTTAAAAGCAAACTCTTTAATTCACCAACACTGATCACAGGTGGTTGGATTTAACTGTTGCACTGTTGCATTTGCAAATAACAATAAAGAGCTCCTTCTAAATAATTCAAATTTAGCAGTAAAGAGGAAAAGAAACTATGAGATGAATTAAACAATTTGCTGCCAGTATTCAGCAAATTAAGAACTATTTGGCATCATCTCTTAAATAAAAGCTCTAAAATCCATCCAAAATGTCCATTCTCCATAGCAGGGACAGGATATCTACCTCATTTTGTCTGATTTGGCTTTTAATTTGGATTTAATGTAAGACACCACATTTTTATGGATGTGTACCTTCAGAACAAAGAAAGGCTGCTTCACTTGATAACTAAAACTAAAAGTTCTCTGGATGAATTGAGAAAATTTAAATCAAATCCTAATTCAATTATTGATTAAACAAACTTTTTTATTTAGATCAATTGTATGCAAAATTAAAAGAACTGACAGACATAAAAGACTGCAAACATTTTATGAAAGTATTCTACATTAGATATTGAATTTACATGTGGAATATTTGTTGAACTCTAATGAACAAAGAGAGAATCCCTTTCATTTTATTTTTTTTAATTGTATAATTACTAGAGTAACAATTCTACAGTTAAAATAAAACCGATACGTGAGCACTCATGAGTATGTTTACAGCGTCCCCATCAGTATTATCTTCTTTTTTCTTTTTTATTATAACATCATATTAAGTATTGTGCGGGGCTACAGATAAGCCACAATGTTATGTGAATGGCACTAAATTATAAATAAAGGTAGAAGAAAATGGTCACGATTAGGTTAAATGGTAAAATCCAAACCTGCAGGAATGTTGTTAATAATTGGAATCTCGTTCAAATTCAACTCATGAATTCACCCCTTTAAAAAAAAAAAAAAAAAAAATCAAACTTAGAAAAAGCCCTTTAGCAAAGCTTAAATTATTTGAAGGCCTTTGGGTTTATACTCAAGCAGGAAATCAAGAAAGCATATTTTGTGTTTTCTACTGCTGTGCTGGATATCCCCTTGGGAAACGGATGAAAATGAAAAGGAAAAATCCTCTGTTTTAGTCATTCTTTTTAACGCCTTTTCTTTGTCACTAACTGCAAAAAAGCAAACATCCACAGGCAACATTTTCTATGCTCATGTTCAACAGTTGCTCTCTTAAATTCAACACCACTGCAGCGCCAAGGATGAGCGTAGTGCATGCTTCAATCTAATACTGATCTTTTCATTGAAGGCTTTGACTACTGTATGAGCTTCATTTAGAATAGCAAAGCAGCAGCCCCTCATGCTGGATCTTATGCTAGCACACATGAATTTACAAGCATAAGGAAAGCTTCCGAGAATAGCCTGAGGGGAAGTGATCTGAACCAAGGGTTCCTAGCAGGCGTGCCTCCCTCATACTTATGGATAACAGCAAACCCCAGGGTGATGTATGCAGCAACCACATGCAGATTGAGGAAAACTTCTCTTCCTTGCCTAGATGGCTACCACAGATAAAATAAAAACATTGCTCTGGTTTGTATTCTGTATCCCTGATTTACCCACAATTTTTTAGAAACAAAGCCTTTAAGCAGACAAGGACTAATAAATTTAGAGTTTTACAAGGATTTAAAAGCTCCATGTTACCAATGCAGTTTGCATATGTTCCACTTTAAATGGGCTTTCTGAAGCCTAGAACACTGAAAAATCAGCAGCCTTCGTCTACAATGTCTTACATACGTATTTGTGCTCAATGAAGGTTCTCATATTTACCCCATTTACACGACCCTCTGAAAACCAGGTGTGCGTCCCATTTAAAATCAGTTATCAACAGTTATCTTGGTTGCCATGCTCAGATCTCGGCATGGTTTCAAAAGGGTAGTGTAAATGGGGCTATTGTGTGAAGTCACAGTAAATTTCAACTTATATTACTGGCATCTTAGTTTTAAGTTTTATTTTTCAGATTAAAGACTGAACAGAGCTCTATGAGATGTTATATTTTTAATCACCTAAAGCTGCTTTAAATCTGGAGGCAACTTTATCCCTGATGTGTTCAAAAACATTGTCTGACAAACCTTTGAGGCCTTGATGGAACAGCTGCATTCAAAAAGATAATTATTTGCACATCATTGGGTTTCATTTGCTCATTTGGGATTTTTGAAGGTAACTGGTAACAATTTGATTCAGGGTAAAAGGTTAAATAAGACCCAACATGGAGATGTTAAAATAATTACATTTCACTTGAGTTTACTAATATCTAATATTTTGTGCTGGTCTGACACATTAAATCCCAGTGAAATACATGTAAAAAATGTGACTGAAACATGTTTAAGTCTGAAAAATGTTAAAGGGCTATAAATATCTTTGAAAGGCACTGCAACAATTTCTGCAAATCAGCCAAAGTCCGTTCTCAGTAACTGACCGTGTCAAGGTTCTGCATGATGTCCTGGAAGGATGGGTGGGACCTGAACTGCTCGAAGAGCTCCCTCTTGTAAAGCAGTGCGTACACCAGGTTCGGATTGTGGTGCAGTGAGTTGCAGAGGCAGGAGTTGATGATTTCCAGCATCATGCGGATCACCTCCTCAATCACATTTAGGTCCTGGGCCTTGAAGGGGGAAATGGGGAGGATTTAAAGGTTAATTGGTTTCACGATACACTGGCTTCACTTATTATTGTGGCTTTAACTGGCTGATGATGAAGGGTGGTTAAAAAAAAATGTCAGAGGAGAAAATGGTCAGAACAAAAGAAAAAAATGCAGCTAAGAGGAGAACTTAATGAGATTATTTACAAAGAACATTAGACTTGCCAAAAAAAAGAGAAAACTGAGAAGTTCCTGAATAAAGATGCATCATGAGGAAAAAACACCCAACTAAGATACAAGATCCTACAGTAAAAGAGTGCTAATCGATCCAACAGCAATACAAGCTGCAGACAAAGTAATTGCTATCACACTAGATATATATATATATATATATATATATATATATATATATATATATATATATATATATATATATATATATATATATATATTCTCTATAATTTATGCTATCACACTATATATATATATATATATATATATATACATACATA